AAAAAAAACATTTCACATATCCAGTCATCTTTTGCAGGATATCCTAAGAACCAGGGTCATGTCTTCAGCTGGTCTATCTAACTCTAACTGGTGCTAATTAGAAAAATATATCTTGACAACCATGATAGCATAATTGATAGCTGCATTTGGATGTGTAAATTTAGAACCTCTTTTGGAAGTGGTTGCCTGATTCAGGCAACTGCAGGGATGGAGAACAGTTTCATTTGTTATTTGACATTTCTCTTCAAGCAAAGGTGCCTTCCAATTGGGCCCAGTATACTATGTTTCCAGACATTAGTCCGTAAAAGAGGCTACTAATACTTTCCCACGTAAGTATAATTGAGGAACTCTATGTAAGATATGAGTTCTACTTCCATTTGAGTCGAGCTTTTTTTAATGTGGATTCTAGTTTATATTTTTTCAAGATGTGGGTTTTAGCTCTCTGTGCCTATCTTGAAATAAAAAATAAGCTGGTTTAGAATTCACTGCCTGAGGTATTTATACCATAAAAAGTTAACTAGTAGCTTACAATAAAACAATTACAGTTTGACTTAATTTAGAGATTAATTTTGCTTGGTAAGTCCTAACTTCAAGGAGGGTTATTTCCTTTTAACTGTGGGGTGAGGCAGATGGGCAGCTTGGAGAGCTTTCTGACTGCTCCAGCCGTAATCAGCTGGGGAACACAGCAACCAGATGGCCTGCTCTGAAAGTGGGCCACCACTGTAATCCTAAATGGACTGCTGGCAAAGAGTGGACTTTTGCACACCACACCACTGAAGCGGCTGGAAGTACCTTTTGGCCCGTCTGTTTTGGGCCTCTTCAAGATACTGTGCTACCTGTGGTGAAGGACAAAATACCTCCCTTCCCCTACAAAGATGATTGCTTCAACATGGGCAACAGGACATTTACTCACTCCACTTTTTCAATGACTTAATTGCTTAAGGGGTGCAAAGAAGATTGCAGAATGTCCTCCCAACACTTCACAACCACTCACTAGCCACTGCCTGACATCTGGTTGCCACCAGCTGAGTCCAAAGTTACAATTCAGTGGCTGCATCCCAAGAGCAGAACAATGTATATGTACCTGCTTAGGCTGGCTAGCTTTCTGTCCACATAAGAACATTGGGAGGGGACAACTAGCTGGTAACTCCCAGCCCATTCAGGCCAAGAACAAACATGCTGCAAAAGTACCTTCCATTGCCTGAGCTGCCAGTCTAGTTTAGTTAATGGTACTGTGTTTCTCATGCAGAGGTAGAAACTGCATGGCTTCTGGATGCTGGTGAATTGCAACTCCCAGCATTCTTAGGCAGTGTAGCTAGTGATGAGAAATGTTAGAAACTGCGGTTTAACAACATCTGAAGTTCTATGGAATTACCACCCTTTCTCTAACACATTAATCACTATTCCTGTTCTACTGGGGGTGAGCAACTTTTGCCCGTAGATGCTGGACTGCAAATCCCATCAGCCCTAACTAGGATAACCAGAGGTGAGGGGATTGACAATTTAACATCTGGAGGACCACAAATTTCTCATCCCAATTTCATTAATCTGAACACAGCCCAGTTTAAGCTTTGTTATGTGTCCTCAAGTCGACCTCAACTTGTGGCAACCCTGTGGATGAGACATCTCCAAGTCTCCCATGTCCTCCACTGCTCTGCTTGTATCTTGCAGATTCAGGCCTGTGACCTCCTTGACTGAGTCCAGCTATCTGGTGTGTGGCCTTCCTCTGTGGCCTACTATCCTCTATCTTTCCCAGCATCATTGTCTTTTCTAGTGAATCATGCCTTTGATCACCTTGGTTTCAAGGGGGAGTTCACGCTTGATCTGTTCAAGGGCCCATTTATTTCTTTTCGGCTGGCCATGGTATTCTTAACACTTTTCTCCAGCACCACATCTCAAATGAGTTGATTTTCTTCCTGACTGCTTTCTGTCTGCTTTCTTTACTGTTCAGCCCTGACATCTGCTCATACCAGGTGATCAGATGTCCTCCTTTTCCTACATTTCCACCTTCTGTCCAGGAGGAATTCCAAAATGTCCTCCAATGTGAGCATGACTATGAAGCACAAATTTATGTTTCTGTGAGTGTTTTGAACTTTTATTTGGCTTTGCCCTCCATTTTTTTTGAATGTCCTTCATTTTGTGGTCCTCGTCTTCCTTTTTAGTGAGGACCTCTGGTCACCCTGGTGCATAGTGATGGTGGATACCATGGCTTGGATGATTCTAACTTTTGTGCTCAGTTGTATATCTTTGCTACTTCCAAGGTTTGTTGTTGATGTTAACTGCCCTAGAGTCATGGTGGATGAGACATCTCCAATAACCCCTATCTTCCTGAAAGCCCATGTTTGTGGCCCCCTGATGGTCCGTCTATCTAGTATGCAGTCTTCCTCTGCTTCTTCTACCCTCTACCTTTCCTAGCATTATTGTTTTTCTCAGGTGGCCAAAGTACCACAGCCTCAGTTTCATTGTCTTAGCTTAGGCCGGCCATATTTCCTTGAGACAAAAAAGGGGACATTGGGGCAGCAGCAAAAACAGGATGGGTCATGTATTGTTCCACATTCATGAAAAAGTAAGACGGTAACAAAAGTTTTATCGCATGAACCTATTGAGCTGACAATGATTCTTGAGTGACAGAACTCATACAAAAATTTATTTCGTAGAGAGGGACTGGACTTCACCTCTCATGAATATTTGTTCTGTAGAAGTAATCTTAGGAAGCACATTTCAGTCTTTCTTTTTTTTTTTCATTTTATTTTTATTCAAAACAGTATTTACAATCTTTATAAAAACCGCTATTAATTTGTTATACATATCATACAGTTCTATCTACATATTTACATAACTTCCTTTAGTTCGAACCACCATGAGTACACTTTGTAAAAAATTTTTATGATTACTCTCTCCATCTTAACATTCATATCTATACCACACTTGCTGAAACCATACCTTATTCCTTTTTGTCTTGGTTTATATATTCCATCTTTCTTTTATATACCCCTCTATTGGAGAAGCACATTTCAGTCTTTCAATACCCTATCATAAAACTTCTCATACTCCACGACATAATTTATTTTGTTTTTGTTTCGTTCTGCTTTGTTTGCTGTTGTGTCTGACAACCACAGTTTCAAACCAGTTTCACAACCTAACAGGGCATTTATTTTCCCCTTGAAAACGGGGCAAATCGGACATTATGGATTAAAAAGACGGGACGGTCTGGAAATTTTTTAAAATAAACCGTCACTGTCCCGTTTAAAACGGGAGGTACGGTCAGGAGAGTGCGAGAACACAGGCAGGCGCCCTGAGGGAGAAGGAGAAAGAGAGTGAGGGAAGCCATTTTCCTCTCAACTTGAGAAGGCTGAACCGGGCCTTCCCTCTGTCTCTCTGTGCCAGGCCTTCTCAGCCACCAGGGCCTCAGCGTCGCAGCTGCGCCTGCGCAGTGACGCCCCTCAGGGGCGCGTGACGGGCGGAGAAGGATATCCGCAGTCGGGAAGGATTGGCTGGCCGGCCGGTCGGCAGGGCGCACTGTCATGGCGGCCGCCGCCGAAGTCGGAGTCGAGGCCGGAGGAGCCACCGCCAGCCTGAGGCCGGACGCCGGGACGCAGAGGGCTGAGCTTATGCCGCTGTTGGGGGCGCCTCTGTGGCCGGGGGAGTCCTGGTGAGGAGGCCCTCAGGGTCAGCGCCTCGGTCTCAGGTTCAGGGAGGCTAGGCCGCGCCGTGCGCGCGCCCGGGGCTGTTGGTCTCCGAATGAGGGAGGGAGGGGGGATGAGAGAGGGGACGGGGCGCGCGCGGCGGCGGCGGCGGCGCGGGGAGGGGTCGCGAGCGCCAGGTGGGCGCGCGCGGGCTCTAAGGAAGGGCCTCATTCAGCCCTGCTGAGTCACTCCCTCTGTCCATTCTTGTACTTCTTTCTTTCTTTCCGTTGCTCTTCATTGCCTCCTTCGTTTGGTTTTTGCAGGTACCTGGTTGACAGCCGGTGGTTCAAACAGTGGAAGAAGTACGTGGGCTTTGACAGCTGGGACCTGTATAATGTTGGGGAGCCTAACCTCTACCCGGGACCGATTGATAACTCAGGGCTTTTTGCAGGTAAAACACACACACACACACACACACAAAATGGCAGGAAAGGAATGGAGGGTTAGGTAGTTGTGTAGTAGGAGAGCTGGGAGTCATGGCTTTGGGAAGGGTAAATATCATGTAGGAGCTGGTGTGGTGTAGTAACCCTAACTGCCCTCCTCTGAAATAGACTCTCCGATTAGCTATACAGACAGACAGCGTAGGGTAGTGGTTTGAGTGTTGGACTATGACTCTGGACGCCAGGGTTTGATTCCCAGCTTGGCCATGAAACCCACTGGGTGACCTTGGGCATGTCACACACACTCAACCTCAGGGAAAGACAATGGGAAACCTCCTCTCAACAAATCTTGCCAAGAAAACCCCATGATAGGGTCGCCTTGGGGTTACCATGAATCAGAAAGGACTTGAAGGCACACAACACACAAATATCATGTATCATTTCATATCTGGGATATGTTTGTTGTTTGCCCTTCCACTCCAGTCTCTTCCAGATAACTCGAAAGTAGAATTTGAGTCTCTCCTGGAAAAAAACAACAACCCTCTTTGCTATGGAAGTTGTCATTGGTTTCTAGCAGATGTTGTAATCGCAACTGCTGTTGCGTTAGACTTGAGAGCTTCCACCCTAAAATTAGTGTCTCACCCATTGCTTCTCACACCCTTCTGGCCATTTGTTTGCTCACTTCCTATTCACTTCTGCTGACTGTGACGGGAACAGAAGGAGAACTAAACAGTATATCTGCTTGTGTTGTGATTGGTCACAAACTATTATTAGCTTGGCATATTTAGTGGGCCATTGAACTTAAAATGGTTAGATACTATATGTGATAATCTTTAGATGTCTTAATAAGTTCTTCCTTCTTCCTTTGAACTTTAGCTCTCCATCAATTTCCTTAGCTTGATACAAGGCTCAGGTTTGTGGTAGGCTGACCTTGATATAGTGATAAACTTAAAATATAAAAAAAAATACCTTTTCATATGCTGCCTCCTTAGTATTCTGAAGATAGTTGGGCTTGGGATTTTAATGTTGCTTCTCATTTCAGGGAACTTCCCTGTGTCAACAGGAGCAGTCAAAGAGAGATCAGAGTCCTGTGAGTTAGAAATAATACCAAAATAGGCCCTTAATAGCCTATTATGATACCCAAATAGGCCCATAACACACGTTATGGAAAGTTGTGGCTATCATGGATTTGGCTGTAAAAAAAGCAATAATAGATGCTTTGGTTATTGAACCTCTTTATAGCAAGGGTGGGGAAGTTTGCCCTGAGAACCAAGCTAGGAAGAGGGAGTCATCTGGCCCTTCTCCCTCCTAGATATCACTTTTTCCTTCTCTATGCAGAAAGAAGCATGAGGCTCATAGATAGATAACAAGGGTTTCACCTCCTATTTCTCTGAAATCAATGACAAGAATAGGATTCTCCTGTCCTGCAGCTTGCTTTCCCAATTGGAATAGCAAGCTGCCTCTGAGAGAATCAATCCAAAACAAGGGGCAGAGGTTAAGGAAAGTGGCATCCCTTGCAGGCTGAGTCTAGAACCTTGATGAGCCAGCTTGGGCCCACAGGCCAGAGAATTCACTCCTTTGTTGCATACCACTGTGAAAAAATTAGTATATGTACTTTGGTTTTATAAATGCAGCTCTGCATTTTCTTCCAGTTTTGTATGTTGTTGTGTGCCTTCAGGTTGTTTCCAACCAACCCTGAGATAAACCTATCGCAGGGTTTTCTTGACATTGTTCAGAGGGGGTTTGCCTTTTGCCTTCTTCTGAGACTGAAAGAAGGTGATTTGCCCAAGGTCACCCATTGGATTTCCATGGATGAATGGAGATTTGAACCCTCAAGTCTTACACCAACACCTAAATCACTACATCATGCTGGTTCTTGCTCCAGTGTTGTACTGTACAGTTTTAGGAAGTCTTAAATATCATACAGTTTGCAGACTTACTTGAAAAGCATTAGGTATTTTATTCTTTGAATATAGGATAGTATTCTCAGAGTAAAAACTCACTTGGACATAGCTACTTGAATTGCCTGTGAAGATTTTCAAAAGTATGTGTTTGTCTGCTACTTTGTATAGCTGTTAGTCATTGTTTCCATCTCCGTTTAGATTCAGAAACTCAGACTTTGAAAGAGCATCTCATCGATGAATTGGATTATGTGTTGGTTCCTACTGAAGCCTGGAATAAATTAGTAAATTGGTATGGCTGTATAGAGGGACAGAAGCCAATTGTGAGGAAAGTAAGTGTTTGTGATCCTAGTATGATTTTTGGTGTAATCTGTTTATATGTGCTCAGAAGTAAATTAACTTCTTATTTCTACAAATTCCTGCTTATCTTTTTACTTTTCTCTTTAATCAAGTAACAAAGCTGCCTTCACTGCATTTTCTTTCTCTTTCTTATTTTTATGATAAGGACTAGAAGAGTATAGTTTTAGGACTTGTGCCTCATTTGTAATGTGCCTCATTTGTAATCTTAGCTGGGCTTGTTGCCATTCTCGCCGTTACACATCCATCGCTGTCCTAGTGACTTTGTGTACTTTTCTTGTGATATTTTTGTAATTTATGAGCAGCAGGCAAATCTGAACTTTATACACTGCTATATTGGCCATAATTCCTTCAAGCTACCCTCTTGATTTTTTTCTGGGAAGTTATTTAATTTGGGAGCATCTCAATGTTGTAGGTACTGTTTGTGCAACTTGTTCACAAAACCATAGAGAGGTTGTGGCAACTTTTCTAAAACTCAAATTGTAATTGCTTCTTGCATTTAAAACTCTTGTACCTGTTTGTCTGAAATTTGAAAACATTGTACTATTTTAAGGTATCAGTTACACTCTCTTGGGCAGATCCATGACATAATCCATAGATACCTGTGACTAAAGACCACACACTATGTGGAAAAATGAATATACATTTTTTTAAAAAAAAATCTGTATGTAGGAAATAAAATTACTGATAACAAGTTTCTGAATGCATGGACTTGAGCAAGAATTATAGATTTAACACACAGATTAAGTTTTATATATAATAAATTGGTTAGAAATAAAACTGTTAGTCTAAATCAGTGGTCCACAAACTTTTTCAGGCTATCACCCCCTTTCCTCTAGCGCACCCATGCATATTTCTTGGTATTAGGTTCACTGAGAGAAAAGGCCTAAGCAGACTGCCAGAAATAGTGCACATTAAATTGAGGCACTGCCCTGGCTCAGTGCTAGGGAATCATGAGAATTGTATTTTTTTCTGAGACATTGAGCCTTCTCTGTCAGAGAGCTCTGGTGCCACAATAAATTACAGTTCCCATGATTCCCTAGCACTGAGCCAGGGCAGTGCCTCAATTTAATGTGCACTATTTCTGGCAGTCTGCTTAGGCCCAGAGTATCCTAAGTAAGGGAAGCAACTGCTTTGGGGTAGTTTTGCAAATGAAGTAAATGAAATTCTGCTTGCCATGCAACCCCACTGGGTGACCCTGGGCAAGTCACACTCTCCCAGCCACAGGGGAAGGCAATGGCAAACCCTCTCTGAAGAAACCTTTTCAAGAAAGGCATGATAGATTCTCCTTAGAGTCATCATGAGTCAAAACAACCAGAAGGCACACAACAACAGTCACTGCTAGCCAACTCAGTGGCGTCACAAGGGGGGGTGCGGGCTGTGTGGACCACACCAGGTGACACCCTAAGGGAAGGTGACACCACTGCTCCTCAAACACCTACCTTTTGGCAGAAATAGGCTGTGACATTCATCTGTTTCCCTTTAATTTGCTTTAAGAGATTATGGGAGTGGGGTGAAGCTCAGTGGGAGGAGAAAGGAGAGCCCCCAGAGTTTTTTAAAATTAAAAATTATTTTTTAAATTTTCTTTAAAAACATCATATTTTAACTAAATATTCACTATGTGTATGTAAATACATTTAGGTTGTGCATATGATATTGTAATTTGAAGTTATAATTTTCATTTTGCTAGTTGTTTATGTCACAACTATTACCATTACATTCAGTGGTATACTGGAATTAACAATTTACAAGTAACATTAGTACAAAAAAGCATTATTGAGGATTCCGTATGGTGTGAAACTGGAGAAAGTCAATGGGGGGGGGGTGACACCATGAGTTACCGCACTGGGTGACACCAATCCTAGGGATGCCCCTGAGCCAACCCAAGAGTTTGGACCCCCAAATTTTGTATTTGGGGGAAGGAAGGTGAGGCTGGGGGCTGGCTTGAGAAGGTGAAAGAGGGAGGCCCCTCTGTGGAAGGAACAACACTGCCCAAATTGGGTTCCTGGCGAAGAGGGTGGACAGGCAGGCAAGCTCAGCAGTATTTACACCTGAGGAAAGATTTACACCTGAGGAACATTTCTTGGCAGCCCATGCCAAGAAATGTTCCTGCAGCCACCATCTTCTTTCTCTTCCTCCTCCAGGCTTCTGGCAAAGGGAGGGAGAGGGGAATAAAAGGGGGGGGGGAACAACAGGAAATCCCAGGAGTCACTAGAGCAGGGGTAGGCAAACTGTCCCCTTTAAGGGCCGAGGGACTTCAGCTCCCAGAAGCTTCAGTCATGTTGGCCAATAGTCTGGGATTCTGGGAGCTGAAGTCCCTCGGCCCTTAAAGGAGACCGTTTGCCTACCCCTGCACTAGAGCATTGACAGTATCTATTGAAAGGGGGAACAGAGGAAGAGCTTGCCCCCTTCCCTTCTCTTCCCTTCTGCTTTGGCCAGCTAGCTTGAGCTAGCTAGTCAAGGCAAAAGGGAAAGATGAGCACACACCTGCCCCTCCCTTCTCTTCCCTTCTGCCTTGGCTAGTTGGCTTGAGCTAGCTAGCCAAGACAAAAGGGAAAGAAAAGTGCATGCCTGCCCCCCTATCCCTTTTGCCTTGGAATCAGCCGGTATCTTTCCTATCCGAAGAACTTTTCCTCCTTGGGCTCCTTGTAGGGGGAAGCTGAGCAGTTTCTAGAAAGAGGTGGGCATGGCAAGTATTTTGGTGTCCAAAGAGGGGAGGGAGCAAGGAAAAGTGAAGGACAGGGTCTGTTTGCTCTGTTCCAGGGTGAGACAAAGATGGAGGAGCCATGCTAGGTCTCTTTCCTCTCAGTCCGGACAGACACAGATTGTTTCCCATGCAGCTCTCCATTCACCCTCCCTCTGTCCTATCCCAGAATGGTGTACAAAAGAAGTTTCTTGCAACTAGGATTGCCATAACTGTCTTCCGCAAAACATCAGATGCAAGTCTACTAAAGCTTATGCTACAACTGTTTTCATACAGTTAGGGCCTGAACAGACTACCAGAAATAA